AAAAAAAAAAAAAAATCTATCTACAGACTGTTTGCCCAACAGCATGAAGGTAAATATAGTATTAAAAGTGAAAACAAATTTAGTTTTAATAGGAATGTAAGAAACCGTATATACCAAATTTAAAAAACAAGAGATATTACATATTAATTCACCCATGTATCATAACTACTATAAGGAATCCATCAGTTTTAAAATTGTACATACAAACATTCTATGGGTCAGTTTTCTCAATGTTGCCAAGAGGATGCCATGTTTACTTTTTCATGTGCTACTTCTAAAATCTACATTGTAAACCCAGAAATAAGATATTTTGAGTCCTTTTTTTTTTTTTAATAAAAGGCAAGATTGACAATTCTCACATACACTCAAATTTTAAATTAAAAAGTAGAAAATTCTTGTTCCTAGGAGAAAATAATTAAGATAATAGAAAATGTTCTCCACATGTTATTTACTGTTGCAATACAACAACCAGCAATAAGGTAAGCTTCTTAACATAAGGTTATCTGTGAGACAATTTCTTGGGAGTGATTTCTTTCTCTTTGGGTAACTAGAGAAAGACATGTAGTTTACACACACAAAAATTACTAAAGGTCTATATATACTAACCTGGCCCAGTCCAGGCATACCTCCTCCAAGTCTAAGAAGTCTGTCCATATTTCTAGGAAACAGAAACAAAGGAAAACGTTCCTAAGCACAAAAGTGTTTACTCAATTGCTATCTATATAATTCACCTTCAGTCACTCAGTATGTCAAAAATATTGGTGGTAATTACAACACAACATCAGACTTCCTGTTAATTAACACCACATATTAATTCAAGAAGCTGTCTTCCATGCTAATTAACAGACCTTACTTTACTGCTTTGGTTTTGGGTTATCCCCGATTTTAAAGACAAGCAATCTTAGCATACTTTCAAAACTTTGCTATCATTAAGTTAATTATATTTTCTCATTGTTATCTAATAAAGTACCCGAATGAGGAAAAAGTGCCTGAAATGCTTATCATATGTATGATTGAATTTCCTTCAATTTGTCCAGAGTATACAAATAAAAATCCTCACTTTTAAATTAAATTTTAACATCCTCATTAGTAAGTTCTGTGCTAATTAACTTACAGCTTGTCAGTTATCATCAAAACTACATGTGAAAGACATTGTGAGCAGATTATGGATCTCTGAATTAGCATCAAAGCCTTTTTTAAAATGAACTCATTATACTAAAAGAAATATTATAAAGTAAACATTAAAAGCATGAAGATAGTGTTCTAGAACCTACGCAGACATTTTGCATTATTTCAGATGTTGTGTAGACATATACCTTTTTCACTGAGGAAATTCAACTGCTGTCTCAATTATAATTTTAGAGTTAATCAATACAAAGATTAATTTTATCAATCTAGAATAACTATAGAAGACATTCTTATAAGCTTGAAAAACTCAGAAGAAAAATCAAAGAAATAGCAAGAGTACCAATATGGCCTCAAATGAAAAAAAAGAGTAACCAAATGATAAAGAATTAATATCAGTACAGCTAAATGTTGTTAAATGTTAAACATGGCAATGAAGCACTTCTTCTACTTGAAAATCACTAGTGCCTTAAAATTTCCTTTTCTTTCTAAATATATGCTTTAGTGGGGCGCCTGGGTGGCTCAGTCGGTTAAGCGTCCGACTTCAACTCAGGTCACGATCTCGCGGTCCAGGAGTTCGAGCCCCGTGTCGGGCTCTGGGCTGATGGCTTGGAGCCTGGAGCCTGCTTCAAATTCTGTCTCCCTCTCTCTCTGCCCCTTCCCTGTTCACGCTCTGTCTCTCTCTGTCTCAAAAATAAATAAACGTTAAAAAAAAATTTTTTTTAATAAAAAAAATTAAAAAAAATAAATGTATGCTTTAGAAAATGGTATTACAATTTATATTCTATATTAAATGCTAACAAATTAGTCATCTGTTCGTGTTATTTTACTAGTTAGAACTGCTATACAAACTAAAACTTAATAATATACTCAAGATCATTACAGCCTAATCATTTTTGCTGAATCTTGCTAACAATTTACTTCTATATTTAACAATGTTAATACTCTAAACTTTACTCAAGTCCACATATAGGAAACTTGCACAAATGATATAGGCATGGAATCTTCACAAAGTGAATACTCTCCCGTAACCACCACCTAGATAAAGAAACAACATTATCAGCACCTAAAAACACCTGTCATGCCCCTTTTTCCAGTCCCTACCACCACGCAAAGATAGAATTCCAACTTCTAATGGCATAAACTAGTTGTTTTTGAATTTTATATAAACAATTTATAAACAACTTTATATCAACAAGTCTGTGAGATTCACAATGGATAAATTCACTTTAAAAAAAGAAAGGCACACAAGAAAACTTGATAGTCCAGATAAAATTTCTGCTTTACAACGTTAACACATCCTCCTAATAGCAACATTTACAAACAAAACCTCCATCAAATTCTCATTAAAATTCCTCAACTCAAATATAGCATTCAATACATGGCACTTTTTAAAGTCTATAAACGGGGGGTGGGGGGAACCTGAATATTTTAAAATATTAAAGACATTTCTCTAGAATATATTACCAAAGGAAAAAATTCTTTTGTACCATTTCTAGCTTATAAACTTAAAGAAGAAATGGTAAGAAAACTAATAACATACAGTATACTTTAGACATTATATACATTCCAGGCCAAAGTCGATTCCCAGCTGTGTTCAGTTTATCTATTTCCCCTGTGTTGTTTCTGATGACTTTACACAGACTCCAGATGCTGTGAATATACATGAGCGATGTGGGGAGCAGAGGGAAAGAAAATCTGGCAGGTCAAATTTGTGTTTTTAGCAAAATTAGATGTCTCAGCAAATAGGAAAAAATATTTAACTAAAACAGTTTAGATAACATAATGAGGTTTAACAAAAATATTAACATTTAGAAATGAAATACATTGATTAAGGTTCTAAATCACACTACTTTTTAAAAAAATTTTAATGTTTATGTACTTATCTTTTGAGATAGAGAGTGAGAGAAAGCAAGCCAGGGAGGGGAGAGAGAAATCCCAAGCAGGCTCTGCGCGATCAGCATAGAGCCTGACGTGGGGCTCAAACTCATGAACTGTGAGATCATGACCCCAGACGAAACCTAGAGTCGGAGTCACCCAGGCACCCTAAATCACACTACTTTTTAAAAGAGTTTATAGAAAGCAAATAAGAACAAAAATGCTAGTTATCTAAATGACTTTCATGAGCTCTTAAATCTGGTCATCTATCACTTATTTATAATTTGATGTATGTTAAAAAAAGATACATTTTCTGTTTTTTTTAAAAGATACATTTTCATATATCATATCCTAAAAACAGTAGGCAAAAATTATATACATTCTTAATTCTCACCTGGTCAGTAACTACAACTCTTGTGGTGTTAAGCTTCAATTCGTTGTTTGACAAATTTCTTCTTAAGCTCCTGCTAATACTGACAGGTATAACTTTTCCCAAGTACTTTTTTTCTCTCTCTCTCCTAGAAAAGTAAATAAGATAAGATATGATTACTTTGAGAACTATGGAGGAAAATATGCCAAGAGCTTTAAACGAAGCAAAATTCCTAAAATTGAAATAGAACTCAAAATTGATTTTTAATCACCAACTTCAGAAGAATATGGAAGAAATAGCATCCCAGAAAGCAACAGAGCAAAGGATTGACCCCACATCCAAATTTTGTTCCTAAGTTTCTCTTTTGAGCAGTTTTAGTTATATGTAAGGATTGACATTTTATGACTTTTAGTCTTTCTAGAGGTGTTTCAAAGACCAGAGAAAACTTACTCATATTTTTAAATAGAACATTCTATTGTGCAATCACTATATAGGTCCACTGCACATTACATACAAACCTATGATGTACTATGGAATCTTAGTAATGTTATTTTTCCTATATTTCAAAGTTTGCTATTTCATTATCATAGGAATTTGTTTGTCATTTCTTAGTCAATTATTCCTAACTACACCAAAAAGACTAAAAAAAAAAAAACCAAGAAAATGGAAGAATAAGAATTATCCAAAATGATGCAATAGTGAAATACATTATTGCTATTGCTTCATCCTTCACTTCTTATTGTGCTGTCCAAAGCATTTACCACTTTTCAAAAACACATAAAGGACAAGAGACATCACCTTTGTAGTCTTTTTAGCTTTCATTTGAGCACAGCTAAGAATTCAGAACTTTGCATATTATACTCATAATGTCCAAGAGAAAACTGACAGAGAAAAAAAGTTTCACAATTATTAGAGAATCACAAGGTGAATGTAAAAACAGGTAACATTCTAGTCTCTAACAATAACAATAAAATTGGTGGTATAAGCCAGGGTTTCTTCAGCACTATTGACATTTAGAACCAAATTTCTTGTTACAGGGGGCTGTCTTGTGCATTACAGGATGTTTTGCAGCATCCCTGGCCTCTACTCATTAGGTACCGTTAATACGCACCAAGTCGTGATAATCAAAAATGTCCCCAGACATTGCCAAATGTCTGCTGGAAGGGCAAAAATCACTCCCAGTTCAGAACCACTGATATAAACAAAATCTCAGGCTATACATCTTCAAATGACAATACCCTAGATCTTCTCGATCTTAAGAACTTCTTAAGATCTTAAGATCTTCTCGAACTTAAGAACCAATCATGGCTGGAAACAGTTTGGGAACTCTTCAAAAAGTTCAACAAAGAATGATCATATGACCCAGCAATTCCACTCCTAGGTATATATCCAAAAGAACTGAAAATAGGTATTCAAAACAAACTCTTGTACATGCAGATTTATAGCATCACTATTCACAACAGCCCAACGATGGAATCAACCCAAATGTCCATCAAAAGATGGAAGGATAAACAAATTCACATGATGGAATATATGGAATATTATTAAGCTATAAAAAGGAATGTAGTACCATCACGTTATATTATGAATGAACCTCAAAACATTATGCTATATAAAAGAAGCCATGCACAAAGGTCACAAACTGTATGATTTCATTTACATTAAATATCCCAAATATATGAATCCATAGAAAAGGAATGCAGATTAGTGATTGCCAGAGGTTGCAGGAAAGGTGTAAAATGGAGAAACTGCTTAAGGGGTAAGAGATTTTACTTCAGAATGATGGAATCGTTTTGGAACTAGATAGAGATGGGGTAGTTACACAACACTGTGAATGATTTTGGCTCAGGTCATGATCTCACGGTTGCTAAGTTCCAGCCCCGCATCAGGCTCTGTGCTGATAGTGCTGAGCCAGCTTGGGATTCTCTCTTGCCCTCTGTCTCTGCCCCTCCCCTGCTCACTCTCTCTCTCAAAAATAAATAAACATTAAAAAAAAATTTTTTTAAGTGGATCAATGAGTGAACAATATTTCTAAGACTAAAAAAGAAAAACTTTTTCATCCGGTTGGGAATTCAACAAGAAGGACTTCATTACACACTATTTTACAACAAGAACCTGTTTTGCTAAGAGATGTATAATGATGTTGATGAAGCTCATATGTGGACAAATGCTGAAGTGTCCACAAAGATGAACAAAAGTAAACAGATAATGTAGAATGAAAAAAATCACTGGACTAACTCTATTGGTGTTTATAAATCTAAAAGCAAAAAACATTTTGTGAGCAGAGATGATAGCCATCCTCTCTTCAATAAAATTATGAGCTATCAATGTTTTCAAAAGTATTGCAATTGGGAAATGGAAAAGTTCCAGAAATGGATGGTGGTGACAGCTGCACAACGTGAATGTACTTAAAGCCACTATACATCTAAAAATGATTAAAATGATAAATTTTATGTTATGCATACTTTATATGAGGGTTAACATCTATGACTCTGTGTTACAAGTGCCAGGACTCAAATCTTGTTTCTAATACTTACTAGCTCTGTGTCCTGGGGTCAGTTACCTCCCTGAGACTTAGTTTCCTTATCTGCAAAATGGGAATAAGGACAGCATCCACCTTATACAGTTGTTTGGATTAAAGAAGACAATGGACATAAACAACACTTAACATAATGCTTGACATATAGTGAGTAAACAAGGAGTGCTAGTAGCTCTCCTCAGCACCACTTTCCTTAGTATGGCTACAGTTCATACAACAAAGATTTTTCTTCCCACATGCTTTGCCACTTACTGAATTTCAAAACAATAGGTACATTTCACAGTACTAAATGAATTACACTGGAGAAGAGGGACTTGAATTTTGCAGATTTTAGCAAAAGGGTTTATAAAATTAAAGTGTTAAACTATAACATAAAAGACAATACTTCCAATTCTTCAAAATAAAAGCCATACAGGGGCGCCTGGATGGCTTAGTTAAGCGTCGGACTTCTGTGCTGATAGCTCAGAGCCTGGAGCCTGCTTCAGATTCTGTGTCTCCCTCTCTCTGCCCGTCCCTCTCTCTCTCTCAAAAAGAAGGAAGGAAGGAAGGAAGGAAGGAAGGGAGGGAGGGAGGGAGGGAGGGAGGGAAGGAAGGAAGGAAGGAAGGAAGGAAGGAAGGAAGGAAGGAAGGAAGGAAGGAAGGAAGGAAGGAAGGAAGGAAGGAAGGAAGGAAGGAAGGGCAGGCCGGCCATAGAAAACTCCTATGGATCTAAACCAAGTTTTTACACCTACCAAAAAGCAGAGGACCCCAAGAGCTCATTCACGATATGATTAACTTTACTTAAAACATTATCAGATAATATGAACAAAGCGTTTAGCTGTAACTAATATGTCATATATAATGTTTACAATCCAAATTGGTAACAATACAAAATAAGTATCAGTACTTTCAAAAGGTCGTACATCAAAAGTTGATGATTTTCGGGGCACCTAGGTGGCTCAGTCGGTTGGGCATACGACTTTGGCTCAGGTTATGATCTCAGTTAGTGGGTTCAAGCCCCACATCGGACTCTGAGCTGACAGCTCAGAGCCTGGCGAATGCTTCAGATTCTGTGTCTCCCTCTCTCTCTGCCCCCGCCCCCTGCTCATGTTCTGTCTCTCTCGCTCTCAAAAATAAATAAACATTTAAAAAAATTTTTAATTTTTTTTTAAAAGTTGATGATTTTCTACTTCTTCATCTCCCTAAGTTAGTATCTGGTTAGAACCTGATACAGTTAGATTGTTTTCCTGATGGAATTAAAATAAATCAATTCTCAAATACTTATAGGAAATGTATGGAACTATGAATAACTCTAAAAACAGATCCTTCAAAACTATCTTAATCCGGATTTGGAATGTGGCAATTTTTTAACTCTTCAATCTTTCACAAGGGACAAGGGACACCGTTTTCCTAGTAATTCATAAAATTCAACAAATCATGAAGGCCTTAGTTGTTCGAGTTTATCATTGTTTCTTAGTTCAATTTTCATTTTTTACTCCCCAATCCATGCTACAGTTACATTACTTCTCAGACTGATGCTAAATCCTTTACTCCATATTTGTGATCTCACTGTATTTCTAATTCCTCTACTCTGATTTGTGGAAAGTAATTGGAAATGTTTTTTACTTTCTTAAAGGCTTTCTTCAGTGGAAGAAACAGTCGATATTAAACTTTTAATTATATAAATAGGATTTTGAAAGCAAGATTTTTCCATTTTAGAACAGTAAAGATGGAACTGTTACAAATATCTTTTCTTGTGCTGTCTCCTAATTACAACTTTCAATTAAACATTCATTAAATACAAGTTTCCCTCTCTTATCCAAAAGCAGAATGTTCCTATGAAAATCTTCCTCAGTGGAAATGGTATAAATCGAAGAAAACAGTTACCATTTAGTAAAAGCGAAAATCCTCTTCAGATTTCTATCTGTTAGCAAAAATGGGTATAATGCAGGTCTTCTGTAAAAGTGAAGTGGGGTAAAGCTAACTTTCTGATAGCAGGGAAAACCTGTACTACTTTATGCATAAGGTGATACAGAAATAGAGCCACTAAGAAACTCAGTTAACTTTCACTGAAAGAATTTATACTCTATCTGGGGAGGCATGATATAAACCCATAAAAAAATACATATAGTGAAAGGCAGCAGGGTAGAGCCAGAAAGGCTCTGAAGGCTATCATACCTCAATTTGAATCTGGGCTTTATGACCTACTCTCCATACGATCTGTAAAAAGTTACCTTCTTCTCGTCTCTAGACTTCATCCATAAAATGGGATAATAATCTACCTCTTGCAAATCAGTGTAAGAAAAAATACAAAGCACCTCTTATAGTGCCTGGAACATTTATAAGGTACTCAATAATTACTGCTATTGTTATGATCATCTTAGAGCCAGAAGCGATTATTTAATCCAATTCTCATTTTACAGATGGGGACACCAAAATATCACAAAGCAGGATATGAATGTCAAAGGAGTGCAACAAACTGGGTATATGACAAGTTCATTAGTAATAAATCATGTGAATTTTCAGGTCAGACTTTCAGAAGTGGACACTGAATTATGAAATGAACACTCCATATAATGGAAAACAAAAG